AAAATTGTATAACACAATTTTTTCTCAACAATTCAAGACATGTATGCTAAGTTTAGAAAGAATCAGTGCGGTAAAAATGGTCGAAATTTCGCTCGCACGTTTCGACCCATGTTAAAGAACGATAGTAACTAGTTAACTAAAAGCTTGTTTAAATACCTGAAGACTAAAGTCAACACAACGATGACGATCAGAAGGCCTATCACTGAGGCAATAACTAACTTGGCCCAGAATGCTGGAGAGGAAACATGTTCTCTGATTTCAAAATCGAGCATGACATCATTGTGTTAGAGATTGTACAAAAGTCTTAGCTTAATGTTTAGTCCAAATTCCTTGCATTTATAGATTTTCCCCAAAGGTTTTTTTTTAAAATAATATTCCTTATAATACGAGTAGCAGTAATTACTAAGGTCTATAACAATATTTTATAACAGGTTTAATTTAGTTAAAAACGATGCAAAAGAAATAATTGAAATTACATCGCAGGTATTGAATTTTCTTTTCTAAGTTGGATTTTTAAAAATCTATATCAAATTGTTTTAAGTAAAATTAAAAAACAAGTTAATTAAAAAGTCTAGTGACAATTTTAGCGCAATTTCCTTATGTACTCGTCATCACGTTCAATGGATGCGTCATCACGTTCCATGGCTGCGCCATCACGTTCAGTAGGCACGCAACGGTTTTTAGTCTTATAACTCTATTGTTTTTTTTTAAATGTGAAAAAATGATTAGGCCTCGCGAAACAAAACCTTGTAATTGTAACTCCCTATCACTCTCATATAAATTATAAATAAATTTATAGGGTACAAAAATAACGTTTGAATTAATAAGTAAATAAGTAATTAAAAAAAATAAACTTATAGCAAGATCTAAAAGATAGCGAAAAATAGATATCTATATATTGCTATATAGTACTGTAGTGTATTATGTATAATGTAAGTTTAAAAAAACATTTGTGACCGAACGAAAGGATATTTTTGAAAACTTTCTTCGGCAATATTGTTCTAAATTATGGCAGGAATCGATTGGTAAATGTTTCAAGTGGCTAAGTGGTCTGGTTGCCGAGATATGGGCCAAAAACTGCATTTTTTCGAGGTTTTTTGGCTTTTCTGGGAAATCCAGGAAGGAATTCCGGGAATTTTTTTGGCCCACTATCATCGTCGGAACATATTTGCTTTTGAAACTAGTCCTCGATATTGCTTCGTTGAGGAGGAGATACGACTTAAAGCTGCGAACACACATCCATTCCCAGAAAAGACGAATTAATAAACGCAATTCTCCAGAATGGAAATTGCGCTAAAAAACACAAGGTAAACCCAAAATACAGGAAACTGGTTGTTTTCTTTCTATTATTGAGCAAAATGGAAATGTCCTATTTTTATTCCAAAATGGGATGACTTTAAACATGTAGTTGTACCACTGTAAACTATGCTCACGGAATTTAAATGAAGAATCAGCTCTTGTTGCAGGTTGAAATTCACCGCCTGAAAAACAAAACAAAAAGTTTAATTTTTTAGTTAGAGTGTCAGCAGTTATCTCCCATTTGTTTCTTGTGTGCTGCCTCTGTTCTGTGCATGTTGCCAAGAGGCGGTAAATTTCGATAACTAAACTAATATGCTTTAACATTCCTTAACATACTTCATTTGAAACTCATTTGTGCTCATGTTTATGTTCATGTTCATGTTCATTTCATATTCATGTTCATGTTCATGTTCATTCCGTACACGTGACTATGTTTGTGTCAATGTTCGTGTTTATTTTCTTCCACATGCGCATGAGCAAAATCACAATCCCGCGCATACTCATGGACGTGTACGCATATATTTCACACTGCACATTGCCCTCCTCTACACCGCACAGTTCACTTCTCTACAATGCACATTACACTCCTATACGTACACTACACACTGCATACTTCACTCCTCTACACTGCACACTGCACTTCTCTACACTGCACATTGCACTCCTATACGTACACTACAGACTGCATACTTCACTCCACTACACTGCACAGTGCACTCGTCTACAGTGCACATTGCACCCTCTACACTGCACACTGCACTCCTCTACACGGCAAATTGCACTCCTCTACACTGCACATTGCACTCGTCTACACTGCACATTGCACTCCTTTACACTTCACACTGCACTCCTCTACACTGCAAATGCCAAATGCGCTTGCACATCATTTGACCCGACCTTGTGCAGATTTATATTCTACGGGTAATGTCGTATTTTCCACATCGACTTTTTCTTGTGGTTGTGCTGAATCTCTACATTCTCCCGTTACAGCGTCGCACGCAGGCGAGCAATCACAGATCCTTTCACATGTGGCGCCGAACGTGAACTCGGGGCATACTGTGGAGGTCAAGGTCACAAGCTGCACGTAAAGGAGAGATGGACATCTGATAATTTGTATCACCCGACCAACACCTTCACTCATACCCCAACACTGACATTTTAAGCATTTCTAACTCCAATTGCCGTGTTCCATTAGGCACCCATTAGCTTGTTGTTTTTGTGTTTGAGCTTTTCAGTTTAGCCTTAAAAAAAAGCATGGGTCCCTTTTTGAATTTAATTAAAGTTATGCAATACTTAATATAGTGACCCACGCTTTTCTTTTTCGTTAATTAAAATACTATTGAACCGACATGTGACACGCCCATGCCTAGAATGTTACCCACCCCCACCCCAACTCGGTCACTAGCCCCTTGATCAATAAATTCCTCTAAATTACCACCTTGAGTAATTACCCCACTACAGAGCACATGTCATACCAATAACCCATCCTCCTATCCCTAGCGATCTTCCTAACCAAAGTCATGTACTTAGCCTTCATTTTCACCCTACTGAAATTCTTTACACTAAAGAGGACCATAACAGTGACCATGAACGTACATGTTGCCTTGACATCACCATTACCATCGACTGCCACATCCACATCCACATCAACAACATCAACATCAACTTCAATATTACTATCACCATCCACATCACCATCCACATCCACATCCACATCCACATCCACATCAACATTCACATCCACATCCACATCCACATCCACATCCACAGCCACATCCACATCCACATCCACAGCCACACCCACAGCCACAGCCACAGCCACAGCCACACCCACACCCACAACCACATCAACATCAACATCAACATCAACATCAACATCAACATCAACATCAACATCAACATCAACATCAACATCAACACCAACACCAACACCAACACCAACATCAACATCAACATCAACATCAACATCAACATCAACATCAACATCAACATCAACATCAACATCAACATCAACATCAACATCAACATCAACATCAACATTAACATCAACATCAACAAACATCAACATCAACATCAACATCAACATCAACATCAACATCATTATCAACATCAACATCATTATCAACATCAACATCAACATCAAAATCAACATCAACAGCAACATCAACATCAACATCAACATCAATATCAACATCACCATCACCATCACCATCAACATCAACATCAACATCAACATCAACATCAACATCAACATCAACATCAACATCAACATCAACATTAATATCAACATCAACATCAACATCAACATCAACATCAACATCAACATCAACATCAACATCAACATCAACATCAACATCAACATCAACATCAACATCAACATCAACATCAACATCAACATCAACATCAACATCAACATCAACATCAACATCAACATCAACATCAACATCAACATCAACATCAACATCAACATCAACATCAACATCAACATCAACATCAACATCAACATCAACATCAACATCAACATCAACATCAACATCAACATCAACATCAACATCAACATCAACATCAACATCAACATCAACATCAACATCAACATCAACATCAACATCAACATCAACATCAACATCAACATCAACATCAACATCAACATCAACATCAACATCAACATCAACATCAACATCAACATCAACATCAACATCAACATCAACATCAACATCAACATCAACATCAACATCAACATCAACATCAACATCAACATCAACATCAACATTAACATTAACATTAACATTAACATTAACATTAACATTAACATTAACATTAACATTAACATTAACATTAACATTAACATTAACATTAACATTAACATTATCATTATCATTAACATTAACATTAACATTAACATTAACATTAACATTAACATTAACATTAACATTAACATTAACATTAACATTAACATTAACATTAACATTAACATTAACATTAACATTAACATTAACATTAACATTAACATTAACATTAACATTAACATTAACATTAACATCAACATTAACATTAACATTAACATTAACATTAACATTAACATTAACATTAACATTAACATTAACATTAACATTAACATTAACATTAACATTAACATTAACATTAACATTAACATTAACATTAACATTAACATTAACATTAACATTAACATTAACATTAACATTAACATTAACATTAACATTAACATTAACATTAACATTAACATTAACATTAACATTAACATTAACATTAACATTAATAATTAATATTAACATTAACATTAACATTAACATATCTGATGATAATTGTCAGGGAGGTGGGGTGATTGACAAGACGTAATATATATATATATATATATATATATATATATATATATATATATATATATATATATATATATATATATATATATATATATATATATATATATATATATATATATATATATATATATATATATATATATATATGTCCGTGTATGTGGCTGCGTGTGTGTAAGTGTGTGTCAGTGTGTGTATGTATGTGTCCACGTGTGTGTTTCTGTGTGTACATTTGTGTGTCAATGTGTCTGTGTATGTGGCAGTGTGTGTCTGTGTTAGTGTCACTGTGTGCGTGTGTGCTATGCATTAACTTGTGAGCTTACCATCATACTTTGTAGCGAAATCCTCGTCCGTTCGGAGATCGCCATCATCGTCTAGCGACAAAAAAAGGAAACATTGGGAGAGGTGGTGGGGGTGGAGGAGAGAGAAATACAATCGGTATGTTAAAATGTTTACTCATTAATCTTGCTCTACGTTTTTGTGGTGAATTATTTTCCTACACATCTGCTTGCAAGCTCTATTCGTTATTTTTTACAGAAGCCAAAACAGAAAACAAAAACTGACGAAAATTAGATTAACTTTAACCTTTATTGTTAGGTGTGTATCAACTAGTTGTGTACCAACTAGTTGTGTACCAACTAGGTGTGTACCAACTAGGTGTGTACCAACTAGGTGTGTACCAACTAAGTGTGTACCAACTAGACCAACTAGGTGTGTACCAACTAGGTGTGTACCAACTACGTGTGTACCAACTAGGTGTGAACCAACTAGTTGTGTACCAACTAGGTGTGTACCAACTAGGTGTGTACCAACTAGGTGTGTACCAACTAGTTGTGTACCAACTAAGTGTGTACCAACTAGACCAACTAGGTGTGTACCAACTAGGTGTGTACCAACTAGTTGTGTACCAACTAGGTGTGTACCAACTAGGTGTGTACCAACTAGGTGTGTACCAACTAGGTGTGTACCAACTAGGTGTGTACCAACTAGGTGTGTACCAACTAGGTGTGTACCAACTAGGTGTGTACCAACTAGGTGTGAACCAACTAGGTTTGTACCAACTAGGTGTGTACCAACTAGGTGTGTACCAACTAGGTGTGTACCAACTAGGTGTGTACCAACTAGACCAACTAGGTGTGTACCAACTAGGTGTGTACCAACTAGGTGTGTACCAACTAGGTGTGTACCAACTAGGTGTGTACCAACTAGGTGTGTACCAACTAGGTGTGTACCAACTAGGTGTGTACCAACTAGGTGTGTACCAACTAGGTGTGAACCAACTAGGTGTGTACCAACTAGATGTGTACCAACCAGGTGTGTACCAACTAGACCAACTAGTTGTGTACCAACTAGGTGTGTACCAACTAGGTGTGAACCAACTAGGTGTGTACCAACTAGATGTGTACCAACCAGGTGTGTACCAACTAGACCAACTAGGTGTGTACCAACTAGGTGTGTACCAACTAGACCAACTAGGTGTGTACCAACTAGGTGTGTACCAACTAGGTGTGTACCAACTAGGTGTGTACCAACTAGGTGTGTACCTACTAGGTGTGTACCAACTAGGTGTGAACCAACTAGGTGTGTACCAACTAGGTGTGTACCAACTAGGTGTGTACCAACTAGGTGTGTACCAACTAGGTGTGTACCAACTAGGTGTGTACCAACTAGGTGTGTACCAACTAGGTGTGTACCAACTAGGTGTGTACCAACTAGGTGTGTACCAACTAGGTGTGAACCAACTAGGTGTGTACCAACTAGGTGTGTACCAACTAGGTGTGTACCAACTAGGTGTGTACCAACTAGGTGTGTACCAACTAGGTGTGTACCAACTAGGTGTGTACCAACTAGGTGTGAACCAACTAGGTGTGTACCAACTAGTTGTGTACCAACTAGGTGTGTACCAACTAGGTGTGTACCAACTAGGTGTGTACCAACTAGACCAGCTAGGTGTGTACCAACTAGACCAACTAGGTGTGTACCAACTAGGTGTGTACCAACTAGGTGTGAACCAACTAGGTGTGTACCAACTAGGTGTGTACCAACTAGGTGTGTACCAACTAGGTGTGTACCAACTAGGTGTGTACCAACTAGGTGTGTACCAACTCAACTAGGTGTGAACCAACTAGGTGTGTACCAACTAGTTGTGTACCAACTAGGTGTGTACCAACTAGGTGTGTACCAACTAGGTGTGTACCAACTAGGTGTGTACCAACTAGGTGTGTACCAACTAGGTGTGTACCAACTAGGTGTGTACCAACTAGGTGTGTACCAACTAGGTGTGTACCAACTAGGTGTGTACCAACTAGGTGTGTACCAACTAGACCAACTAGGTGTGTACCAACTAGGTGTGTACCAACTAGGTGTGTACCAACGAGGTGTGTACCAACTAGGTGTGTACCAACTAGGTGTGTACCAACTAGACCAACTAGGTGTGTACCAACTAGGTGTGAACCAACTAGGTGTGTACCAACTAGGTGTGTACCAACTAGACCAACTAGGTGTGTACCAACTAGGTGTGTACCAACTAGGTGTGTACCAACTAGGTGTGTACCAACTAGGTGTGTACCAACTAGGTGTGTACCAACTAGGTGTGTACCAACTAGGTGTGAACCAACTAGGTGTGTACCAACTAGATGTGTACCAACCAGGTGTGTACCAACCAGGTGTGTACCAACTAGACCAACTAGTTGTGTACCAACTAGGTGTGTACCAACTAGGTGTGAACCAACTAGGTGTGTACCAACTAGATGTGTACCAACCAGGTGTGTACCAACTAGACCAACTAGGTGTGTACCAACTAGGTGTGTACCAACTAGACCAACTAGGTGTGTACCAACTAGGTGTGTACCAACTAGGTGTGTACCAACTAGGTGTGTACCAACTAGGTGTGTACCTACTAGGTGTGTACCAACTAGGTGTGAACCAACTAGGTGTGTACCAACTAGGTGTGTACCAACTAGGTGTGTACCAACTAGGTGTGTACCAACTAGGTGTGTACCAACTAGGTGTGTACCAACTAGGTGTGTACCAACTAGGTGTGTACCAACTAGGTGTGTACCAACTAGGTGTGTACCAACTAGGTGTGTACCAACTAGGTGTGAACCAACTAGGTGTGTACCAACTAGGTGTGTACCAACTAGGTGTGTACCAACTAGGTGTGTACCAACTAGGTGTGTACCAACTAGGTGTGTACCAACTAGGTGTGTACCAACTAGGTGTGAACCAACTAGGTGTGTACCAACTAGTTGTGTACCAACTAGGTGTGTACCAACTAGGTGTGTACCAACTAGGTGTGTACCAACTAGACCAGCTAGGTGTGTACCAACTAGACCAACTAGGTGTGTACCAACTAGGTGTGTACCAACTAGGTGTGAACCAACTAGGTGTGTACCAACTAGGTGTGTACCAACTAGGTGTGTACCAACTAGGTGTGTACCAACTAGGTGTGTACCAACTAGGTGTGTACCAACTAGGTGTGTACCAACTAGGTGTGAACCAACTAGGTGTGTACCAACTAGTTGTGTACCAACTAGGTGTGTACCAACTAGGTGTGTACCAACTAGGTGTGAACCAACTAGGTGTGTACCAACTAGGTGTGTACCAACTAGGTGTGTACCAACTAGGTGTGTACCAACTAGGTGTGTACCAACTAGGTGTGTACCAACTAGGTGTGTACCAACTAGGTGTGTACCAACTAGGTGTGTACCAACTAGACCAACTAGGTGTGTACCAACTAGGTGTGTACCAACTAGGTGTGTACCAACGAGGTGTGTACCAACTAGGTGTGTACCAACTAGGTGTGTACCAACTAGACCAACTAGGTGTGTACCAACTAGGTGTGAACCAACTAGGTGTGTACCAACTAGGTGTGTACCAACTAGACCAACTAGGTGTGTACCAACTAGGTGTGTACCAACTAGGTGTGTACCAACTAGGTGTGTACCAACTAGGTGTGTACCAACTAGGTGTGAACCAACTAGACCAACTAGGTGTGTTCCAACTAGGTGTGTACCAACTAGGTGTGTACCAACTAGGTGTGTACCAACTAGGTGTGTACCAACTAGGTGTGTACCAACTAGGTGTGTACCAACTAGGTGTGTAACAGCTAGGTGTGTACCAACTAGGTGTGTACCAACTAGGTGTGTACCAACTAGGTGTGTACCAACTAGGTGTGTACCAACTAGGTGTGAACCAACTAGACCAACTAGGTGTGTACCAACTAGGTGTGTACCAACTAGGTGTGTACCAACTAGGTGTGTACCAACTAGGTGTGTACCAACTAGGTGTGTACCAACTAGGTGTGTACCAACTAGGTGTGTACCAACTAGGTGTGTACCAACTAGGTGTGTACCAACTAGGTGTGTACCAACTAGACCAACTAGGTGTGTACCAACTAGACCAACTAGGTGTGTACCAACTAGACCAACTAGGTGTGTACCAACTAGGTGTGTACCAACTAGACCAACTAGGTGTGTACCAACTAGACCAACTAGGTGTGTACCAACTAGACCAACTAGGTGTGTACCAACTAGGTGTGTACCAACTAGACCAACTAGGTGTGTACCAACTAGACCAACTAGGTGTGTACCAACTAGACCAACTAGGTGTGTACCAACTAGGTGTGTACCAACTAGGTGTGTACCAACTAGACCAACTAGGTGTGTACCAACTAGGTGTGTACCAACTAGGTGTGTACCAACTAGGTGTGTACCAACTAGGTGTGTACCAACTAGGTGTGTACCAACTAGACCAGCTAGGTGTGTACCAACTAGACCAACTAGGTGTGTACCAACTAGGTGTGTACCAACTAGGTGTGTACCAACTAGGTGTGTACCAACTAGACCAACTAGGTGTGTACCAACTAGACCATCTAGGTGTGTACCAACTAGACCAACTAGGTGTGTACCAACTAGGTGTGTACCAACTAGGTGTGTACCAACTAGGTGTGTAGCAACTAGGTGTGTACCAACTAGGTGTGTACCAACTAGGTGTGTACCAACTAGACCAACTAGGTGTGTACCAACTAGGTGTGTACCAACTAGGTGTGTACCAGCTAGGTGTGTACCAACTAGGTGTGAACCAACTAGGTGTGTACCAACTAGGTGTGAACCAACTAGGTGTGTACCAACTAGGTGTGAACCAACTAGGTGTGTACCAACTAGGTGTGTACCAACTAGGTGTGTACCAACTAGGTGTGTACCAACTAGGTGTGTACCAACTAGGTGTGTACCAACTAGGTGTGTACCAACTAGGTGTGTACCAACTAGGTGTGTACCAACTAGGTGTGTACCAGCTAGGTGTGTACCAACTAGGTGTGAACCAACTAGACCAACTAGGTGTGTACCAACTAGGTGTGTACCAACTAGGTGTGTACCAACTAGGTGTGTACCAACTAGGTGTGTACCAGCTAGGTGTGTACCAACTAGGTGTGTACCAACTAGGTGTGTACCAACTAGGTGTGTACCAACTAGGTGTGTACCAACTAGGTGTGTACCAACTAGGTGTGTACCAACTAGGTGTGTACCAACTAGGTGTGTACCAACTAGGTGTGTACCAACTAGACCAACTAGGTGTGAACCAACTAGGTGTGTACCAACTAGGTGTGTACCAACTAGGTGTGAACCAACTAGGTGTGTACCAACTAGGTGTGTACCAACTAGGTGTGTACCAACTAGGTGTGTACCAACTAGGTGTGTACCAGCTAGGTGTGTACCAACTAGGTGTGAACCAACTAGACCAACTAGGTGTGTACCAACTTGGTGTGTACCAACTAGGTGTGTACCAACTAGGTGTGTACCAACTAGGTGTGTACCAACTAGGTGTGTACCAACTAGGTGTGTACCAACTAGGTGTGTACCAACTAGGTGTGTACCAACTAGGTGTGTACCAACTAGGTGTGTACCAACTAGGTGTGTACCAACTAGGTGTGTACCAACTAGGTGTGTACCAACTAGGTGTGTACCAACTAGGTGTGTACCAACTAGACCAACTAGGTGTGTACCAACTAGGTGTGTACCAACTAGGTGTGTACCAACTAGGTGTGTACCAACTAGACCAACTAGGTGTGTACCAACTAGGTGTGTACCAACTAGACCAACTAGGTGTGTACCAACTAGGTGTGTACCAACTAGGTGTGAACCAACTAGGTGTGTACCAACTAGGTGTGTACCAACTAGGTGTGTACCAACTAGGTGTGTACCAACTAGGTGTGTACCAACTAGGTGTGTACCAACTAGGTGTGTACCAACTAGGTGTGTACCAACTAGACCAACTAGGTGTGTACCAACTAGGTGTGTACCAACTAGGTGTGTACCAACTAGGTGTGTACCAACTAGGTGTGTACCAACTAGGTGTGTACCAACTAGGTGTGTACCAACTAGGTGTGTACCAACTAGACCAGCTAGGTGTGTACCAACTAGGTGTGAACCAACTAGGTGTGAACCAACTAGGTGTGTACCAACTAGGTGTGTACCAACTAGGTGTGTACCAACGAGGTGTGTACCAACTAGGTGTGAACCAACTAGGTGTGTACCAACTAGGTGTGTACCAACTAGGTGTGTACCAACTAGACCAACTAGGTGTGTACCAGCTAGGTGTGTACCAACTAGACCAACTAGGTGTGTACCAACTAGGTGTGTACCAACTAGGTGTGAACCAACTAGGTGTGTACCAACTAGGTGTGTACCAACTAGGTGTGTACCAACTAGGTGTGTACCAACTAGGTGTGTACCAACTAGGTGTGTACCAACTAGGTGTGTACCAACTAGGTGTGTACCAACTAGGTGTGTACCAACTAGGTGTGTACCAACTAGACCAGCTAGGTGTGTACCAACTAGGTGTGAACCAACTAGGTGTGAACCAACTAGGTGTGTACCAACTAGGTGTGTACCAACTAGGTGTGTACCAACGAGGTGTGTACCAACTAGGTGTGAACCAACTAGGTGTGTACCAACTAGGTGTGTACCAACTAGGTGTGTACCAACTAGACCAGCTAGGTGTGTACCAACTAGGTGTGTACCAACTAGGTGTGTACCAACTAGGTGTGTACCAGCTACGTGTGTACCAACTAGGTGTGTACCAACTAGGTGTGTACCAGCTACGTGTGTACCAACTAGGTGTGTACCAACTAGGTGTGTACCAACTAGGTGTGTACCAACTAGGTGTGTACCAACTAGGTGTGTACCAACTAGGTGTGTACCAACTAGGTGTGTACCAACTACGTGTGTACCAACTAGGTGTGTACCAACTAGATGTGTACCAACTAGGTGTGTACCAACTAGGTGTGTACCAACTAGATGTGTACCAACTAGGTGTGTACCAACTAGGTGTGTACCAACTAGGTGTGTACCAACTAGGTGTGTACCAACTAGGTGTGTACCAACTAGGTGTGTACCAACTAGGTGTGTACCAACTAGGTGTGTACCAACTAGGTGTGTACCAACTAGGTGTGTACCAACTAGGTGTGTACCAACTAGGTCTGTAGTTAATATAGACTAGTTAAATACCGGCGGGTAAAAAGTAAAGTTCCATTTCAGACAAGATGGTTTACGTTGCAGATTAAGTAAAGTTCACCTGTTTCTGTGACCTCGACATATGAAGAGATAGTGTAGTCAACACTATGCCCAGCCGTCTTTTCTTTCTCTAACGCACGTTAGGTACCCATCAGAGGTGGGTGGACGTTCTACTAACTTTGCACCTAGATTCGAACTCGAGACTTTCGGGTTTGCAAGCTCTCTACAGCTCGGCCACCACGTAACCGGAGGGTGACATAGAGTTTTGATGTTGTGAGTTGGAGCAGAGAATAATAGGGAACTATATTTATAAAGTGCTTTGTACATAATTGGCTGATGATCATTTCTTCTTCTTCTTCTTCGTTCTTAACTGTAGTGGAGGAAGGGATTCCCTTCTGTATTGCGTGTCAACTGGTAATCCACATCGGAAATCGACCAGTCGGAAATCGCCCAGTCGGAAATCGCCCGATCAGAAACCGCCCAGTCGGAAATAGCCCTGTCGGAAATCGCTCCATCGGAAATCGCCCAGTCGCCAATCACCCTGACGGCAATCTCCCATTAAACCGTGTTCAAACGTTCACCTTTGCCATTTCGCACTTCCTCGTCCAGTAGCCCGTCGCAGTCGTTGTCGATGAAATCTTCCTTGATGGGGATTCCGACGGTACAGGGTACCTGTGGAAAGAAAATAAACCTTCTTTTTATTGGGCTGCTGAAATCTAATTTTTTTTCCTGGGATGCTGAAATCTAATTTTTTTTCCTGGGCAGCTGAAATCTATTTTTTTTACCTTGCTGCTGAAATCAAATTTTAATAATAATAAACAATTTATCTAAATCCTACTAACTTATTCCAGCAATCTCTGTGGGGGGGGGGGGGGGGGAAGAGAGACCTCATAAAGAAAATATATGCTTTAACATGTCCGACCCACGGAACTTTAAATGCCCTCCACCCTCCAACTCTCTCGAAAGTTTCCGATGTGAAACAAAAAAAAAAAAAAAAACAGCCAAAAACAAACACTACATCCTACCACGTCCAACTTGGCACTGATGAATCCTGCTGCTTGTACGTAGGCTGCCGACGCTACCCTGCCGAACAGATACATGCCAAAGTGGTAAGAGTTCACGGAATACGCCCTGTGCATGCCGGGACTCAGGTAAGCCGTTAATGAATTCCACGTTTCATCTATAGGGAGCCAAACGAATATTTGCCTAAAAAAAAAAACAAAAAAAAAAAGTTCACAATGTCAAACATGATCCATGTAAGCAGCTATACAATGAACAATCATTATAGGCAGTGCTCTATGATTGATGTATGTGTATGACATCGACGTATAATATCTTACACACATATCTAATATATATAGAGTTCAATTCTGTATGTTAGTTTGTAAAATGTTTGTTTGTAAAATGTCGTGGATTACAAAAAAATATAACAAAAAACCAAAAAATTGAAACTTTGATGGATTAAAGTGTATTATTATTAAATTGATCATTGTCTAAATTTATGAGTTAAAAAATAAATACTTAAAGTATTGGGAAATAATTTTCATTTTTCAAACTGATAGTTATAATTGTCGGCATGTTCATTAAACACAATTTTTAAAAAAATATCATCTTTTACAAAAATTCTAATTATGTTTGAAAATTATTTATTTTTAGTCCTTTAGCATTTACTACCCTTTGATAAATTAGGAAAACACAATTACTTCCCTTTATAAAACATTGCATTAGTGCAGGGGTCTCCAAACTTTTCAGCCCGAGGGCCGCATTAACTATTAAATATCCGTTCGGGGGCCAGAGTTTCTTTAAGGCATCTCTTCAGGGAAATTGTTCTTCACGTATTTCATTCTTGAAAATGTTTGTTCACACAGGCATGTTGTTCGAAAATTTGATAGGTACTTTGATGCAAAAGTTTTAATGTTAGGAAAGTTTTCCTTGTGCAAAAACGTATGAAAACCCATCCGCCCTTCTTTGAATGTGTCTCTAAGGAAGTCATTTTCTTGCAATTCAATGACCTCCAGCTGCAATTCATCTTTGCAACTGGTTACATTTGCTTCAAATGGGCTTTGAAACAGGCTCACTTCTTCTGCCTTTGAATCCAAGTCAGAAAATCGCTACTGAAACTGCAACTGGAGGTCTTTAATTATCTCGTATGTAAATGACGTGGGGAACCCAGTGGTTGCTTCAGCCGTAAAGACCTTACACTGCCGAAAGTGTGTCAAGTTGTTAGCCTGTACTTGTTCCAAAAACATGACAAATTTGTATCTAAAGGCCTTTGGTGGATGTATAGATCAGAAACTAGATGTCACTTTCTTGCCGTTTTAGGTTCAGAAAAATTAAATGACTGGTTATTACTGCAGCAGAGGCCAATTTCTATACCCATTCTTCATCAGACAATAATGGCTGTGACTTGCCTTTACTATCAGGAAGTCACCAATTTCTTTTCTTAGATACTCTGCTCAAAATTTTCTCGCAAAATTAGCAATATTACTGATGTGAAATATGGTAAATCTTGTGATTTTGTGTTTGTCTCTGAACTATCTATGGTTAGATATCCTCTTCGGTAACCGTGTCATACATTATATTATGTAGGGAAGCCAGCGCTTGTATTAAGTTCATGTCTTCATCCACACCTCTAATGAACACAAGCAGTTGAGAGGTGGAACAGCTGTCCAGCGACTCATCCATTGCAATTGAAAAATGGCGAAACTTGCTTGAATTTTTCGCTATTTGAGTCCCAATGTTTTCACCAATGTCTGCAACACGGCGAGTAATTGTATTTGCACCCAAAGCTACATTTTAAAATTGTTTTGAATTTTCTGTGCAAAGCTCCTCAGCCACCTCCAACAAACATTTTTTCAGTGGACAAAAAGATCGTCGCGGGCCGGATAAAATGACCTCGCGGGCCGCATACGGCCCGCGGGCCATAGTTTGGAGACCCCCTGCATTAGTGGAAAAGTATTTACTTTTTATTACTTTGTTTTGGTGTTGGGAAAAAAATAATTACATAATTAGCGGGGATTGATCAAGTGCAAATGTTGTAGGTATTTTTAATACTGCCTTATATTTATTCTATACACTGAACTTACTGTTTACTAATTATTTTTTTTAACCAATAACAGTTAATACGCCAGGTCCTACATGTCCTATATGTTTATTTCTTTTCGTTTACGGATAAGCTTGGAATATTATAATGTGCTACTTGGGGCTCCGGGCCTCCCGTGTTCGGTTTGGCGCCTACGTTCGTTTAAGTGAGTGCAAAAGACTGAATAAGTTGGGGTATGTATTATAGTCGTTTATTAAGCTGAAACAAGCGATTCCGCCGGCGCCCCAGCATGGTGCGATTTGGCGCCCCGAGCTAGACTGTGAGCACTTTGCATTTATGTTCGCGTTTGTGTTTTCTCTGTGTTTAGGTTGAGTTTGCGTTTTGATTTTGTTCGTTTTGGTTCTTTCATTTCGTTTTCGTTTGTGTTTTTTTTGGGGTTTGTGTTTGTATTTGTGTTTTTGGTTGGTTTTGTGTTTGTGGCTGGGTTTGGGTTTGTGTTATCGTTTGTATTAGTGTTTGCGTTTATGTTATGTTTCCTTTCTTTATTTCTGTTTTGGTTTTAGTTGGTTTTGGTAATGGTGGGCAATGCCGGGTATATGCTGATTACTAAACACACATGTCATGTTTCTTTACATAGACACCTGCACCAAACTACAAGAAGATATACAATTTTATATAATACTAGCCGTCCTGGTTTGTGTTGTGTTTTGTTTGTGTTGTGTTGTGTTTTTTGTGTGTTGTGTTTTGTTTGTGTTGTGATTGTGTTGTGGTTGTGTTGTGTTGGTGTTGGTGTTGGTGTAGTGTTGGTTTGTGTTATGTTCGCGGTTCTTTTTTGTGTGATTTGGTTTTGGTTGGTTGTGGTTAAGGTGGGCAATGCCGGATATATGTTGATTACAAAACACGCATGTCATGGTCCTTTACAGAAAGGTTTTTCACAGAGACCAGAGCAGGGCCTGGCCGGGACGGCTAGTAAGAATATAAACCATGAATTTAAATTAACGTTGTCTATACACTCACAAAAACACACATATATATATATATATATATATATATATATATATATATATATATATATATATATATATATATATATATATATATATATATATATATATATATATATAATATATATATATATATATATATATATATATATATATATATATATATATATATAATAAAATATATATATATATAAAGCTCAATTCTGTATTCTGTATGTAAAATATTTGTTTGTAAAAATAAATGTGTTTGTCGTGGATACTTCGATGTATTTAAGTGTTAGATTATTAACGTGCTCATAGTCTAAATTGATGAGTTAAAAAATTACTATTGAAAGTATTTAAAAACAATTTTCTTTTTATATCCTTAGAATAATAATTTTCAATTATGAACATTACATAAAATTTTTAAAAAGTGTATCAACGTTTATAAAATTTCTAAAATTGTGTCTGTAATGTATTGACTGCACAGTTACTTCCCTTTAAAAAACCCTTAAATCGGGGAAAGAAAGAATTTATTTTTTATTACTATGTTTTGGTGTTAAGAAAAAAAATAATTACATAATTAGCGGGGATTGATTAAGT